TCTGGTCCAGAAGAAAGTCTTCACCAAACCACTTTTTGTAACTCTTCCATGCCCCAAATGTGACAACTTCAGAATTCTCCCTGGCTTCTTTTCCCAACTTCCAAATCCACAAAGGGCCCTTTAGCCATTTTAAGGCTTTGTGGACACTGCTCTGTAGAACCTGCCTTGAGTCAGCAAGTGACACAGAAGTGCAGGGGGTAAAAGAGATGGAACAGGCCCAAACCAAAAACCCGAACCCACTGCCATCAAGTCTGACTCTTAGTAACCCTTTACCACAGAATAAACTGCCCCACAGGGTTTCTAAGGCTGTCAATCTTTATGGAAGCAGACTGCCTCCTCTTTCTCCCATGCAGTGGCTGGTGGGTTCGAACCACCACCCTTTTGGTCACCAGCCCAGTGCTTTAGCCACTGCGCCACCAGAGCTCTATTACCACCATAAAACCGTGCCGTTTTGTAGAGACAGCAGTGCAGTAAGCCACATGCACGTCTGCAGAATAACAGAACCAAAAATCAGTCCGTAGGGACTTAGCTGAGTCACTGTTGGCATAGCCACTTTATGGGATGCCAAGCACCTATTAGAAGTGATGTGAGGGAAGGGCCACTGGCAGTTTATCCGCAACTGGATCCTGTGTTCAGAGTGAGCCTTAAGCATGGAGAAATGAAACCCGCTCACGGGCTGCAGAGAAAGTGGAACAGGAAACAGCCACCCATGAGAGACGCCATCTGACCACTTCTTGAGTTCATCATTAAATGAGTGCCTAGCATTTTGCTACAGCACATAACAACAACAACAAGTATTTTGCAAAAGGGCTCAGGACAGTGCTCGGCACGTTCTAAATGACGTGCAGATGAAACTGTTACAACCATGTGTTATGTGGTGAGCTTCCTTCCACTGTTGGAAGCATTGTGTCCCCTGTCTGCGCTTCCATTACAGGGATGGTCCTTCATCTACTCAACCATTTCCCTACTGCTGGATATGGAGTTTGAACAACACTACCGAGAATGTTTCCTGGTAAAAGGCACTGTTACAGAGTGGAACTCCTCCTTAGGGTTTTCTCGGCTGTAATGTTTACGCAAACAAATCACAGATCGTCCTTCCGCGGGGCAGCTGGGTGGATTCAAACGGCCAACTCTTAGGTTACTAATCAAGCACCTATCGCGCCACCTGAGCGACCTCTTCTAAACTTCTCGTGGTTGGGTGCCATGGCGTCGATTCCAACTTACAGTGACCTCACGTGGCAGAATAGAACTGGCCCGCAGGCGTTCCTAGGCTGTAAACCTATGGAAGCACATGGCCAGGTCTCTCTCCCTCAGAGGAAGGGATGTGACTGCTATCCAGAAGGCTTGGGCAATCTACTTCCATAGTGATACCGCCTCGGAAACGCAAGGTGCGGTCGCTTTGAGTCGGATCCGAGTCCGAGGCAGTGAGTTTGTTGTTGTTGTTCTCCTCCCTCAGAGCCGCTGGGTGAGTCTGCACCGACAACATTTAGGCTAGCAGCCCAGCGCTCAGCCTAAGTGGTTCTAAAGTTTTGGTAGTCTTGCAATTAATTGAGAATCTCATGACACTAGATTAATCCCAGCTAATAAAAGGTATCATGCGAATGAATGCAAAACTTCCGCGTCCATTTTCACGGAGTCAGGGAAGGAACCATCATACCCATGGGCTCGGGATAAGAGCCTGGACGCAGAAAGGGGGCGCCAGCAGGGCGAGCGCTGCAGGGGCCGACGGGAAATGTAGTTCAGAGGCAGAAACACTAAAGACCAACGCTGGGGACAGATTTCCCAGTTTTTCACAGGCCCGATACCGGCCCGGCCGCGTCGCCTGACCCCGCGCTGACCCCAGAGCTCCTTGGAAGCTCCGGAGCCGCTCACCTGATACCTCCTCGAGTCCAGGTCTCGGAGCGACTGCGCCCCGACAGCCCAGAGTGCGCCCTCTCCTCGGGACCGGCGGACTCGCCGCCTGGAGCCGGAAGATGGCGCAGACGCACAAAGCATAGCCGATGCTGCGTCCTGATTGGGCCAGCGTCGCAGCACCTCCTGGGAAACGTAGTCTTGGGACGTAAAGACCTCAGCCCTGCAGTGAGGTCGGACCTCGTGATGGGCCGGGATGGGCGGGGCCGGAGGAGTGTGCGTGAGTGTGTACGCGTGGGCGCGCGTGCAGGCCTTGGGGCCCGGCGAGTATGAATAACCCTTTTCAGGGAGTTTCAGAACAGCACGGTAAAACCTGCGGGAGTTGGAATATGATGGGACTGTGACGTTTTTTCAGGGTCTCGCAAGCTTTCCACCTTTCACAAGGTGTAGTTTCACCGCTTTTCTGTTGCTCATTTTAGTGGAAAATATTTGCATTTTCCTTTTCTGGAAAGTTTTTGCCATGCGCAGATTTTAGTGTATAAACGGTTGTTTTAGAGAAGTAATTCTCTAGACGTGCATTAACCTCGTCATATAAGGAAAAAAAATAAAAGAGCTAAACTCATGTACGGCAGAGGATAAAGTGATCATTGTCATCTGTATCAGGGTCAGTAGGTGGGTAGAGTACGCTGTTGCGAACCTTGGAGCGGATTCTGACTCAGCGACCCGTGTGACACAGTAGAACTGTCCCGTAGCGTTTGCCAGATTGTAATCTTTAGGGGGCACGTTGCCAGGTCTTTCTTCCCAGGAGCCTGGGGTGGATTTGAACCACCAACCTTTTGGTTAGCAGATGAACGCTTAACTGTTGCACCACCAGGGCGCCCTGGATAAAGCATGATTGATGGGGAACTGAATGAGGCACTAAGGACCTCCCAGTATAGTGAGAACACACATGGCATCCCCAAAGTGCTCTTCTGATGTGGCCTCGCCACTTCCCTGTCAAGAGGTGGACTTTCTTTTTCCTGCCCTCAAGCCAGGGCTGAGTTTAGTGACTTTCTGTGGGTCCAAGTCACATGGACAACCCACATTTTGTGTCCTGACTTCCCAGCGGATGGCCACGGTCAGCTGCCATTTATGAAAGTGCTCCATCTTGGATTTCCAGCCCAATTCAGACTTCACGTGGCAGCCACCCCAGCCAATATCTGACTGCAACTGCATGACGGACACCAAACCAGAACCACACAGCTGAGACTAGGTAACCCACAACCACAAGCCCAAAACGATTACTTGTTGCTTTAAGGCACCAGGTTTAGTGGAGTTTGCTATATAGCAAAGTCGCTAAAGAATGTGTTCCCATTTGGTAGCATAGTGCTAAAGGCATTTGACTGGTAACCAGAAGGCTGGCAGTTCAAACCCACCAGCCACTCTTCAGAAAGAAGATGGGGCAATCTACTTCCATAGTGATACTGCCTTGGAAACCCAAGGAGGGGTCCCTATGAGTCGGGTCCGAATCGACGGCACCTAACCACAACAATAACAACAGCCCTGGAGGATTTCACCAGACTCGGCGGCACATAACAACAACAACAACAACAACAGGCTCCCAACGGATTGGTTGTTGGTTAGCACTCACCCAGAAGCTCCTCAGGAGAATGACCTGGTATAAAAATGGCACGAGGTGTCTCCTGAGCTCCCATAACTTCACAAGGGGGAAGGAGAATCATTATCAGCAACAGCAGCACAAAGCTGATTCCTATGAGACGCAGGTCAGACCCACCTCCTCTCCAACCTTTGGCCAACTTTGAAACCAACCTTCCTTCCCACAGCACTCTCTACTTCTCTGCTGGGTTTGATCATTCACTGCAATGGCCACACACAACTCACAGACACTACTCATGATTGTGGGGTTATTTAGGGAAGTAACAGGCTGCAGTTCAGCATCAGGAGTGCACTCAGGGTGATGTTGTTGTTGTTAGGTGCTGTTGAGTCGTCTCCGACTCACAGCGACCCCATGCACAGCAGAATCAAATACCACTCAGTCCCGCGCCAGCTCCATGATCCTTGCTATACTTGAGCAACGTAGTCTCAGCCATCATGTCAGACCATCTGTTGAAGGCCTTCCCCTTTCATCGACCCTCCACCTTACCAAGCATGACATCCTTCTCAAATGGTTCCTTCTGACAGCATGACCAAAGTAGGTGAGACAAAGTCTGGCTATTCTCGCTTCCAAGGAGCATTCTGGCTGCACTTCCTCTAGGACAGATGTGTTAGTTCTTTTAGCAGTCCATGGTACTTTCAGCATTCCTTGCCAGCACCACAACCCAAAAGCATCAACTCTTCTTCGGTCTTCCTTATTCATTGTCCAGCTCTCACATGCATATGAGGCAATTGAAAATAGCACGGCTTGTGTCAGGGCCACCTTAGTCCTCAAGGAGAATTTGCCCAGTGCCACATACATAGTCTAATGTCCTGACTGCTGCTTCCATTGGATTTGATTGTAGAATCAAGCAATGTGAAGTCTTTGACAACCTCAATCTTTTCTCCATTTTTCATGATGCTTCTTATAGGACCAATTGTGAGGATTTTTATTTTCTTTATATTGAGATGTAATCCATACTGCAGACTGTATTCTTTAAACTTCATCAGTGCAAAAGGTGTTATTATCCTATCACTGATAGCACTGTACTTCAGAAGAGATCTTGAAACATCCTTTGTGATGATGAGTGCCTTGGAGAAAACAAGGTGTTTGCAATGAATAAGTCATGAATTTTTTTTTTTTTCATCCTCACTTTCAGCAAGCAAAGTTGTGTCGTCAGCGTATCACAGGTTGTTAGTGATTCTTCCTCCAATCTTGATGCCACATTCTTCTTCATATAGTCCAGCTTCTC